TGCCAAACTATCCGCCAGTGTATTATAATGTTATATATTATATATTATCTATTATTTTTCTCCTTTTTATTAAAACCCCTTTATCATTACGCTTATTATACTAAATTATATTCGTCGCGGGGGGGCGAAACCCCCCAAATTATATTCTTTTTTTTATTATTATCTATCTTTCTTTATTATAAATGTCTTGTGACAATAGATATCAAAATTTATATCAGTATGTCGGCACTACTAATAACACAACTCTTACGCCTATTTTTAATAAAATAAATTCAAATATCAATGTCTTGTATAGCAATGTAGATATCCTTAATCATCAGACATCCGAACTATTTCAGAAGACCAATGATCTAGAAATTATCACCATTGAAACAAGCAATAACTTGATAGAAACTAATGATTTATTATTTATCACCAGCAATAATTTAATTGAAACAAGCAATATATTATTTGCCACATCAAATTTTGTTCTAGATCTGCAATCTCTTATCAAATATAATGCTGATACTAATGAAACCATTATAACAAACAACAATAGGAATATATTATATGTCAAATATCAGACTAATCCTAATAAATATATCATTAAATTCACACTTGAAAACGGCTCATTTATTACAATCCAACAGATTAAACAACAATTAGATGATTTAAATAACAATGCTGCCGCGCAAGAAACCGCAAATGCTGCCCAATCCTTAGAAGATTTGGACGATACGGCTGAAAATGGTTTTAATTTATTCAATGGCTTGGGCGAAATTGTTAAGGGAGGTCTTGCAATTGGAACGGGCTTCATTGGGGGATTGATAGCGTCAGGAACAAACACCTCAAAAGCTGATGGCCTGTTTATTCTCTCGTGGATTAATGTTTTAAGATTATCATTAGGTGTTGTTATTTCTGTTCTTGAAGATGAGGTAATAAATACTAAATTACAAAATAGAGTCATTAAAATATATTCTAGGAATCTAACAGATGGTGAAAAACTTGCTTTGGTCCCTAATGAAGCATTTATATATGATGACACATATAAAACGCTTGTTATTGATGGACAAGAACAAACAGTTTTAGACGAAAGAAATATTGTTTTTCAAGGTGAAGAAGTTATAACATTAGGCAATGAATTAACACAAGATGAATTAAATGAATTTATATTTGGTAGCAATTATGCACTGCAAACATTAAAGCAATATAAAACAATATTCAAAGGCAAAACTCTTTTTATTGATGATATTATTGTTCCTAATATCTATGACAAAAATGAGATAGATAATATAATTGAGAATACTTCTAACATTCTATATGAAATCATACGCGATGAGTCAAATGTACTATTTGATCATATATTGACTGAGTCCAATATACTATTCACCAAAATATATGAAGAATCAAATGTATTATACAATCACATAAGAACAAAACATACAGCAAGCACACTTATAAACGATGTCAAACCTGGGTTTATAGGCAATCTTTATTTCAATGACAATCAAGAATGGGAATTATCAACCGATTTCTACACAAAACAGCAGGGATTAGATACATTTCTATCATATAAAAATCTGGCAAGCTCAAACTTCCTAAAAACGGATGTCTATGCAAATTATCTCAATAGCTCTAATTTCCTAAAAACTGATGCCTACACAAATTTTATCAACAGTTCAAATTATGTCAATCAAACCCAAATGGCAAATCAATTTGCTCTAATTGGCGAATCATTCACAACAAAGAAGCTAACAGTAACTGGGCCAGACAGTCTATATATAGCCGATATCTTCCTGAAATTACAGGGAAATCAATTAATACCACCAAATCTTATTAAAAATCAATTGAATGATACATATACAATTACTTATGACAATTGGGACTTTTTGAGTGGTGGTTCTCCTTATGAAACAGTGCCAACATATCCATCTCAAAACAGGGAATGGGTCAGGTATTATTTCGCTAATAGAACAACTGCTATCCCAGACAATTTTTATATCGAATGTTTTGACATTAGTTTTACGAATAAATTCTCTATCTATTTTTATTATCAATTTATACCTAGTACAAATGTTATGAACCGCAAATATTACAGCGGCAAATACAATCTTTTCAATTACTATTTAGGTGGTTTAACAACAGAGAATATACCTAATAATAGAGGGTTTATTTGTTATCTAGATTATCAAATAACACAAGATGGCTCGCTAAATATTACCAACATATCTCTTGATTTAGTGTTTGAGATATATTATAAGAATACAAACAATGTTTTAAGCTACGAGAAGAAAACGATAAATATAAATGCTTTTGCTTATGTTTATCCAAATATTGGCGGCCCTGTTTTTAGTGTTCAAAATAGTCGCATCGCTGAACTAAATTTTTATTGCTTTGTTCTCCGTGAAGATGGAACCATATTTTATACAATACGAAATCAATTTGAATTGAAGATTGAGGGGACAACACAAATAACAAATTTTAAAGAGTTATATAATGTCAATAATAATAATCATTTTAGAATAATAGACCACGAGCAAGGGCCAACAGGTCAAGAGGCTATAAATTATTCTAATAAACTTGATTTAATAGCAATAAGCAAATCTATATCTTGGACACTTGAGACCATAAATCTATTTTGGACTGAGAACAAGTATTCTGATGCTATCAATCAAATATTTAACAACGATTTATCGGCAAAGATTAGCGGAAAATTAGAGGTTGATTTTATAGATATTAAAAGAGGAAATCTTAGCGTTGTAGATTTAAGTTCGCAAACAGTTGTAGCTCAAAACATATCAGTACAAAATGTGGATATATCAACAATTGCCACAAGCCTTATCACAAGTGGTGGAGTTGGTAGGAGGAGTTTATCTCTAGGAGGAACAACGGCTGTTACCAAGGTAACTGATATATATGACGAACAAAATAGGACCGGAATTGTTAAGATAGCATATGATAATACAACACAACAAAACATATCAACAATAGAAAATTTT